GATCTGAGATTTAATTGGTTAATGAAGACATACCCACAATTTTAATTCTGACCTGATATTTAATCACCAGTTACTTACTATCATCTGAAGAAGTAGTTATAATATTGAAACATAAAAGCTTTTGTGTAATGATTTCAAAATGTTTTATTATAATCTTTTATTATATATATATATATATATATATATAAGGAATAAAAGCCTAGATTTGATAGATTTTCAAAATAAATTATTATAAATGTTAACATTTCTTACTCCCTTTTATAAATGAGATATTTCTCTTAACTCTAAATGTGGATTATAAATAACAAGGCGAGCAACACTTTCAGAACAAAGGTTGGTTTTATATAAATAACTGTGCAATTTAATTATAAAACATTTTAATATAATCGATTATTTATAAATATCATTAAAAACCAATTGAAAATGGATAATATCTTTTTTTACATTTGATTATTGAAATCGAATATGGAAATAGAGTTTCTCAAATAAAGAAGAACTACTGAGTTGGACAAGACATACAGTGCATATTTACGCACATGTATATCGATGAAAAAAAACAATTTTATATTAATAATTGTAATTTTAACTTTAGTGAACTTTATATATTAGATAACATTTACACAGTTTTACAGTGAAAATAGAATAATCCAGAAGATTAATAATCGCATTTAACAGTAATTGTTTTTTTTTCCCTAGGGTGATTTATGTGTGTGCGCGTGTCAAAATGTATTCAATAAATATGGAAAGAAAGATCTCTAGTGAAAAAAAAAGACATGGCGAATAAATGCATTCATAAAGGATGGAATTTTTTTTTTTTTTAAATTTAAGATTTTTAAACCAAACCGTAGAACAATTTTCTTTCCGCTCATTTCATATAAACTCTGAAGACTTCCCTAGCGAAACATGATTATCACATTTGCTGCCGGCGATGACGCCTCGGTTTCTCATCCCAACATTGTTCTTAAAACAATTGCTGAACAAAAAATAGCATTTTACTAATTTCATTAAAAAAATATGATTTTAATTTACTTGGAATTGTGTTGGGCCACTTCAGTACTTGTTGATTTTCGACTTAATTAACCAAAGTTTGTTTAAATAAATGAATGAAACAAGCCATTGTGATTATAACATTTTAATGTTTTAATTAAGGCCAGACTGCAATTAAAGTAAATCTTTTCTTCTCTGAAGAAGATAGAAAAAATTTCAATAGATTTTTTTTATTTAGGCCATGAGTTAAATTATTTTTTGTGTATTTTTACCTGTAATTCTTTTGGTAGCGCCATTCAGAGAGTTACTTGTTTATTTTCCTGGGCTATGTAAGTCTTCTTCCAACATAACCATTTCAGAAAAGAATTGGAAAAGTGATTGCATCACCGATGCCGGGCAAATGTGAAAACATCGATAAATGGAATAGATTGAATGGAATCAGGCAGCAACATTTAGAAAACTTCAAATATCCAAGTTTTTTTTTTTTGTTTTTTTTTTTTGGCGGAAATATACGTCGAAAGTTTTATCAACATTCATTTTTTAAAAAATAATTTTGTGTACATTCATCCGAGAAAATGATCATAACTCTCCACAACTCTCTTTTCTTTATTTAGTCCAGGGTATGACGATAAACTGCATCAGTCAGCAAGGCTCGGGAAATTGGAGGTTTGCCGGAGTGTGGAATCACCTCTTAATTGCTGTTGTTCCCATGTCCACCCTGGCATGGGTTGGCAGCACCAAATAGTGAATTCTCAAAGAAAACAATATGAAAATATAAAAATAGTTTTTTTTTTATAGTAGAAGTACCAACAATGCATTTTATGTGTATTCGGAGCCTTGTGTTCAAAATATATTTAGTTGATGTCATAAAATTGTATTTCAAATATTTTGATTTCGGTATTAAATAAACAATAGAAGGTGCTATTCCAGCAAATAAAAACAACTGACATGAAAGAACTCTTTTTATGAATTTAATCCATATAATATCCTTTGCTTTCTCTAAATCAAACTGTATTCCATTAATCTAACTTCAACAAAACTACAACATTAAACACACATATCTCTAGTAATTATGTCCACACAAACATACGCACAAAAAGCTGAGTATCATCTACCATTTTATTCAATTGTGAAAGCACAATAACATATATCATATTTTTATTATTTCAAAAGCACCTAACTAAATTTCGGCAGTAAATGACACAAAAAAAGTTGAAATGCCGTTAAACAAACAAAATAGTTTTTTTTTCTTAATTATCTGTGACTTAGCATGAATTCTTGGGAAAATTAGTGAAATGGTTTCCATTCTTCACATGTTCTTCTTCTAGACTGGTAGGAAGATCTGGCTGAACTGTCGATTCGGTCGCGCAGTATAATTATGCATATATTAATGTACCAGCTGTAACCTGCACTTTCCACTTACCTTTTGGGTTCGGCTGGAAATAAACTATGACTTAATAGTCTTAATGACAACTCCTACTTCCAGCGTCCTGGGTAAGACGATGAACTACATCCGACAGCAAGTCCTTTGATCAGGAGGTTTTGAGGAGTTTAGAACTACCTCATAATTGCTGGTGGTCCCAGGTCCACCCTGACCCGAGGTGGTAGCACCTGTTAGGGTCCCAGCTATGGGCAAAGAGTTAACCCCACAAAAGAGGTCAAAACACTATGAAAGTATAAAAAATGGGTTTTAATACGAGCAATACATCTTTTAGAAAATTCTTTAACAACAATAATTAAAAAAAAACAAAAAAAAAAAACATTACCAATAATACATTTTTTGAAAAAAATATTACGAACAATATATTTTCGAACGAAAATATTACCAGCAATACAATTTTGGAAAAAAATATTACCACTAATACATTTCTGAAAAAATTTTACCAACAATATATTTTTGAAAAAGAAATTATTACCAGCAATAAAAATCTTGTCGGCATTAAATAATCCATTGAGGTTTAGATGCCGTAAAACAAAGGAAACCAAACAAAGAGAACCAGACAGTAAAAGTCCTCTTCAACGTTGGCTAGTCTCTGCGAAGCTCCTTTGATATCTTCAATGTGAGTAATTGATTCTCATTCAATAATTTATATATATATATATATATATATATATATATATATATATATATATATATATATATATCATGCTTTTAAATTCCTTGAGAAACATAGGGCCGCAAGATATCTTTGCGGTTTCTATAACAAGCCAGTTTTTTTAAGTGGGTAGGTTGTTAGCACAACCCTTAACCTGAAGGTTCAGGATTATGAATTCAGAGCTGTCCTTCCCTAGACCAGTTGCTATCCAAGGCTATAGAACCCCGGCTGTCTTACTATTTACCCATAGATTGGGGGGTAGAAGAAGAGGATTTATACGCACGTAAGTGAATGTAATAGATTCGATGAGAATTCGAACTCGGCCTCCGATTCCTCAATCCGAGCCGCTATCCATTCAATAATTTAGTTTTTCTATTTTTCTGCATTCATTAGATCCATTACAGTACACCAGTTTCAACATATATTATGGAAAATGGTTTTATTCGATTCCAGAGACCTTAATCTAATATTAGTTTCATCTGCATAATAAATTCAGACTTCAGTTTTTGTAATAAATCCTTTAACAAAACATGTTGAAAATATCTCAAAGTTTAAATCGGGTTTTGTTTTAACGTCTAAATTAATCGCTTAAAATTGACAAAAATTGTTTAAAGCATATTCGAGTTATTGAGGTTTGTGTGATTTGCATAATAACTTCAGACGGACTGTACTTTGATCGCGAAAATCTGAGTGAATTGCTCAGTGAATAAGTAAATATCCGATTCAAAAGGTCGAATGAGAGTTCCGGATTCTCGGAAATTTGCAGGGGGTCTCAGAAAATATTTGCATATATTGAAAACGCACTCAGATATTCTTCTAGAATTATATATCGTTCATACATCATATATTTAAGATGCATTGCAAAATATTTCATATATTTAAGACGCACTCTTTGAGTACATCTTAAAACTCCATGCAGAAAACCGGAGTAAATGACAAAAAATGTTGCAAATAAAGAATATTTATCGCAATATTTTTACCAAGATTTCCTAAAAGGACATATTTCAAAAATAAGTTAATTCATAAGCGAATAAGTCTTCCATAAGATTCCACCAAATTCAACAGTTATATGATTTTGCAAGAGTCTCCAAATAACTGCACTTTTTACCATAAAAACGCTAAATTTTCCACATTCATCTTTAACCCACGGGCTGAAACAAGAAAACAAGATTTTTAATCAAGATTTCAAACATGTTAGAAAGGATTTAAAAACATTAATATAATAATCAAAAGTACTTTGGATTTTCCTCTTAATAATAACATAAACATTTTGACTATAAAACTTTGTTTTTATAAATTTTGGGGTATTTTTCATCATGCACTTTTTTTTAGAAAATCTTTAGAGGTACCAAAGTAAAATACAGAAAAGGAAACTCGTTTTTATTGGTGTGAAAAGTTCAGCTTTTAATTGGGAAATAAAAAATTGTATTTCCTACGCATGCTCATAGATGATGTACTGTTTCTATTATCACCTTTAGATTAAACTATGTTATTTGAAAGTATTAATAAAATTATTTTCTAAGGCTAAATCTTGCAAGTAAAGAAAGTTTCAGCAATATTATTTTTATTTTAAAAATATCTAAAGCTCACAAAATTATTTTTACTGTCTGGTTTGTTTGTGAAAGGTCGTCAAGGATCATTTCTCTTGCGTTTGGCTTCTGGACAAATGTCCTTTGTCTGCAGCTCATGTTTACTGGACGAATAATCCAGTGACCCATTGATTATATTTATTCGGGGTGGTTGTATTTTTGTCCCGTTTAACGCTTCTGCTCATTATTAAGGGGTCAGTCATGATTCGCACGATCTATTTCCGGCATGGGTGATGGTGAAGGAGCCATTTGCGGAGATCTGGGGTGATGAATGACAAAGAGGGAAAAATGTTCGTGAGAAGAGAGAGGAAAAGAAAAGAAAAGAAAATTACAGCTGAATAAGGACAATATAGGAAATCTGCAAAAGAAATGCATAAACTAAAATAAGGAAGGTTGATTGATTGAAAGAAAGAAAGAAAGAAAGAAAGAAAGAAAGAAAGAAAGAAATTTTGGTAAAAGGAAACAAGATATAGTGTAGAAACCAATAAAGAAGGATGTATAAAAACAAAGATCGAAAGAAAGAAAGAAGAAATGAAAGAAAGAAATAAAGGACTAGAAAGAAAGAAAGAAAGAAAGAATGAATGAATGAAAAAGGAAAGAAGAAAAGAAAAGGAAGAGAGAAATCAAAGAAGAAAGAAAAAAAGAACTGAAAAGAAATAAAGAAATAAAGAACGAATGAAAGAAAGAATGATAAAAGGAAAGAAGAAAAAAAGAGAAAAATGAAAGAAGAAAAAATAAAGGTGTCAATAGAGAAAAATAAAGAAAGAAAGAAGGAAAGATGAAAAGAAAGAAAGAAGAAAGGAATAAAGGACTGAAAAGAGAAAAATAAAGAAAGAAAGAAAGAAAGAAGAAAAGATGAAAAGAAAAGAAAGAAAGAAAGAAAGAAAAAAGTAAGAAAGAAAGAGAGAAATTAAAGAATAAAGAAATAACGGATTAAAAAGAAAGAAAGAAAGAAAGAAAGAAAGAATGAATGAAATAAAAGAAGCAAAGAAAAAAGGAAATTGTTCAATGTTCCGATTATTTTCAACAATAGTTGGACATTTTTCAGGAATGAAAGTTGAGACAGCCAGTAGATGGTTTATGTTCTAAATGTTTGGGATTACCAAATGACTATAGGATCTCACGCAATGGTGCCTAAAAAGGTTATAGGGTCATGTGACTGTACATTAATCTTTTTTTCTAAGGTTGGCGCTGGTTGTCAGTTTCATTTCTGGAAGGCATGACCGAGAAGTGCAACAATTTGGAAATATTTTGTAAGCACCAAATCCTTTTGCTAAGCAACTTGAATCAAACCCTCTGCCACCAGAATAAACCTCGGAAAAAATTGAAGCGATGGTTGTCAGCGAATTGGGAAACCAAATCAAAAGGAAACCATCGCAGTAACAAGATGCAAAAATCTGTCTGAAGACATGATTGTAATCGACTGAAGATCTTGGTTGGCATGAAACTCCGGGTAACTGTTATAGATCGGCATATCTAGATGGACTGTTGCATAATGTTGTTATCATATATATATATATATACATATATATACATATATGTGTGTGTGTCTGCGTATTTTTGTGTGTGTATGCATGTTTGTGTGTGTGTGTGTGTGTGTGTAATTAATGTGTAATAAATTGTCACTTAACTGAGTGGAGTTATTCCTGTCATGTCGACTTCGAAGTTTATGAGCGCATTGTTGTAATGCCTTCACTCTTCATGGCTATTGACTTCTCAAACTTTACATATTTATGTATAATTTGGTGTAAATTTATAACTTTGTGTAAGTGTTTGTTTTGTTTTTTTTTTTTGTTGTCGTTTTTTTGTTTTTTTTCATTTACTGGCTGTTGTATTATCATTTTTAACTGTAATAACAACGGAAAAACAGCAATTTTGGCACCTAATATACTTACATTTAATACTATATATATATACATATATATACATATATATATATATATATATATATAGAGAGAGAGAGAGAGAGTGATAGATAGATAGATAGATAGATAGATAGATAGATAGATAGATAGATAGATAGATAGATAGATGCGTGTGTATGTATATGTGTCTATGTACATATTAATTTATCCATTTTTATACGGCTAATCAACGCTATGGAGATTATTAAAATCTAGGAAATATATTTAGATTTAGATTTTTTTTGGAACTAATAATGGTTTAGTGATACAGGTTTTACTAATTAGCCAATAGTTTGAGCGAGAAGAGGTGGATTCATACCATTCCCAAGGGCTTTGCGCGTAAGTGAATATAACGAACCCAATTGAATTGGAACTCGGCACATCGATTAACATTTCCATTACACTGATATTGTTGAACTTCGATGATCGTATGGGAACAGTTGTTTCAAGTTGATATGGATGGATATATATATATATATATATATATATATATATATATATATATATATGTCATTACATATACATATATATATATATATATATATATATATATATATAGTTTTAAAAACAAGAATGTATTGATTTTAATTTTAAAAGTCTCTAAGGCCCTTTCAACCAACATCTCACCAGGAGACAATACCAAAGGCTTTATGGTCTTCCTAAAGTTCATAAGAAGGACGTTCCATTGAGACCAATACTTTCAATGATTGGTTCATCCCAACATTCTTTTGGCTCAATGGCTTCTGCAGGTCATACAACCGGTTCAAACATTTTTTGCTAAACATTGTATACCTGATTCTTTCTGCGTTTGTTGAACGCTTACAGGCCATACAATCTGCCCTGATACTGATTTTATGTGTTCTTTTGATGTGTCCAGTCTGTTTACCAACGTACCATTAAAGGAAACTATTAATATCTGTGCAGACTTTTTTATACGAAGGTAACATTGCTCCACCTTCTTTCCTAAGGATATATTTATAGAACTTATGATACTATGTACCAGTTCAGTGGAGTTTAGTTTTGATAATGTTATTTATAGTCAAGTGGATGGGGTCCAGATGGGCAGTCCCTGGCCCCTGCATTGGCTGATATTTTTGTGGGCTACTACGATGTTACTTTTTGGCAAAGTGTCTAAAACCGTTTGTTTATGTCAGGTATGTCGATGACACTTTTGCAACCTTTTTCTAACGAAAGTGAGGCTGTTGAGTTCTTTAATGAGCTCATTTCATTACACAATGGTTTGTCCTTCACTATGGAAGGGGAAAAGGACAACTGTCTGCCTTTTTTGGACGTTTTTGTTGAGCGCAGTAGAGGTGGTTTTCTGACAACATCTATCGTAAACCCACCTTTACGGGTCTCCATTTGAATTGGTGTTAATTTGCTCCTGCATCAAGGAAAATCAATCTTGTTAAAACCTTGGTGTATAGCGCGCTTAAAATTTGTTCTCCTATTACATTGGACCCTGAATTTGAAAACATTAGGGAGATTTTCCTCGGTAACGGCTATCCGGAGGCCCTTATTGATTATATTATTAGTAAGAAGACTAAGGAATTTCATTCCCCTAAAGTCCATGGGCCTTCTAAATGTCCGGTGTATTTGAAGATTCCCCGGATTGGGGATAGTGGTCAGGGCTTAATTAAGCAGGTTAGCAAGTCGGTTTCCGGTTGTTTCCCATCAGTTGCTTTACGTAGCATTTTTCGAACTAGGTCTGTGTTTCCGTCTTTTCGCAAGGATGTATTGCCCTACATCAAATTGAGTAATTTAGTATATGAGTTTAATTGCCAGTGTGCTGCTGGTTATGTGGGGCGTACAACATTGCATTTGGAAACTAGAATCAATCAGCATGTACCTTCAAAAATACGACTTGGTAAGATAGATAAAATATGCTATCTTCCCCCATGAATATGGAATCGGCTATTGCTCAACATTTAGTTGAGAATATAGCCTACGCCAAGTCGTATAAAAAAAAAGAGTGGTTTAAAATTATTCATACAGTCGATTCCAACAATCATTTGAAGATTTTTGAATCGGTCTGCATAGGATTAAAAAAACCTTCTCTGTCGGCAGAAAGAATTTGTAAAATCTTTTTTTAATCTGTTGGGGATATTTTATTTTAACTGTCCCTCGCTAATTTATTTACACAATTGTTTCCCTCCCTCGTTACAAGTATATACACTTGTTTGTTAATTTAGTGTGTCCCCCCTCCACTTTTTTTTGCTCTTCATTGTCGTTATTATTCTTTTCGTTGATTAATTATCCAACGATTGTCTCCTGATGAGATGTTGGTTGAAAGGGCCCTTAAAAGACTTTTAAAATTAAAATTCCAAGGTTGGAATAAAAACTATTTAGTCTGCCCAAAAATTATATATATATATCTCTCTATATATATATATATATATATATATATATATATATTTGTACGTACACATGTGTGTGTGTCTGTGTTTTGTAGAATTAATACAATATAAACGTTTCCCACTTAGCTGATTGTTGTTATTCTTCAACATCACGAAACAAAGAGTTTCGTGTTTTATATATATATATATATAAATGTGTGTGTGTGTGTGTGTGTGTGTGTGTGTGTGTGTGTGTGTCGTGTGTGTGTGTAATATATATATATATATATATATATATATATATATATATATATATATATATATATATATGAATCTCTATATGTGTGTGTGTGTGCATTTATGCATATAAATATGCAAATGTTGTTTAAAGATAGTAATTTATTAAAACAACAGGCATTTTGCCCTGACTGCGATTAATTTTACTGCTCGTTTGAAATTACTGACAATCTTCCTAGATAAGGGAGATAACTGTCAATATTGTCACCTAAGCGATGTTTCAATGTCTTTTTTTTAAATATTTGTCATAATTATACAGGTTATTTTAATTGTGTAAACATAGTTCATCGTCTATGAAGTTTTTTTTTTTTTAAAGTGAAATTATTCTCCAAATGATCTATAATGAGTAGCCCTATTAGAGAAGTCATTTTTGATAGTCCGATAGAATTTCCTTTTTTATGGGATACAGGTTCGATTTCAGTCAAAGGAATTAATCATTCTTTAGTTGGTCTTCTCAATCCTTTTTATTAGTCTCACTTCTTTACGAAAATATAAAAAAATAGCGATTTCAACTCAGATACGTGGACAGACTAAAAATAAATTGTGTTGTAATTAAAGAATAACATGTGACAAAATATCTATTCATATATATATATATATATATATATATATATTAAATAATAAAAAAAAAGTTTGTCTATGTATTTAAGTAAGTTCCTTTCATATTGTCTGATAAGCTTAATAATGTTATCATTGAAAGATAAAAGTGTCACCATATTATACATATTGAGAAAATAAACAATGAAATCTCCATAAATATTCTTAAATGCCTATAATTGATAACAGAAGCTATTGGTTTATAAATTACGGCTCCCCATATATCTTAATACTTTCGTTTTTCGCCCTCGCGTGGTATATATATATCATATATATATATATATATATTTTCGCTTCCTCTCTATATATATATATATATATTTATTGTTGCTTTATAATATTTTCCAATGTAACAAACATGACTATCATTATTGTTTTGTCCGTATATATTTTTATATATTGAAATGTAATTGTCCTCTTTGATAATTCCTGAAGGTGTAAGCTGAAAGCTTAGATAAATTAAAACATCTATTTCAATATGATGATTACTAAAAAAATAAATAGCCAAAAAATGGCGGTCGACTCTATATTATTTAATGAAACATGCATTAATGAAAAATTGCTGCCTAACTACACACGTGAATATATATATATATATATATATATATATATATATATATATATATATATATATATATATATATATATATATATATACAATAAATCGAAAGACAAAATCGAATTCCAGCTACGTTCAACAAAAAAAAGCAAAGAAAAAAAACACAATAAACTCGTAGTACATGAAAATCAAACAGAAATAAACAGTGAAACAAACCGATAAATTCAGCCAAAAAATAAAGTGAAAAAAAGAAACTAACAAAGAATGACCTTTCACACACCCGCTTTAACCTTTTACTTAAAGGAGGAGCGTTATTTATTTAGGACATTGTGCAATTTGATGCGTTATTTTTTTTCTGTGTATGGATTTTATGGAAAAAATATTTAAGAATGCTGAAAAACTAAATATAAAAATTAATTAAATTTTCCTTGTTCTCAGCCATTTAATGAGAAATATTTAAAAGAAAGTCTATTTTCTCAGTTGACATATACTTTTTATATATATATATATATATATATATATATATATATATATATATATATATGTATGTATATTTGGAGAATGTCCGTATATAATATATATATTTAATCTACGCTGGTAAATTGTTCAAATCACATATCTAGGATTATATTTTCCATCCCACAAAAAGTTTAATATATAAAAAAATCACTAAACACTAATTGAGTTTATTTTTCGTAGGTTTTCCACCAAATTTTAACGATCTTGTTACCATTTGTTTAAGAATCAGTGATAAACCGTTTGAGTTATTCAGTTAAAAGAGAAGAGAATAAAATCGTTCCATTTTGTCACAGATCGCAACTTAGATAATGGTGTCTTTTAAATTTCAGGCTTCTGTTAATGGTTTCATTCATACTTTAGCACGTTGTATTGTTGAAGAACCAATAGTAGAACAGAATATATTTTTGGTTCTAGGAACATTCGTCACAAATTATTTTTGCTCATAGTAAGAAAAATGTTATACAAACCTCGGAATTTTTTTCGCCTTAGAAAATATTTTTTAATGATTTTGCCGTACAACGGTTCAAAGCTTTTTTTTTTAATAACAATTTAGGTTACACTGTTACACCCATTGTTACATATATTTAAATATATTTTAATAAGCGAAGTATAGGATCAAATCCAGTTCAATGCAAAAAACAAATCTATTATTTATGAATCATTGTTGAATTTGGATTTTAAATCAATTCTTTTTAAATATTCTATATTTTCGTCTTATTTTTAAAATAAATGTTTACTATTTAATTTCTTTTATGATGTTTGACCCTGTAAAAAAGACATCCATATAGAGGTTAACAAACAGGAATTTATGTTCTCGAGACGTCTCATGTCAAAAAAAAATAATTTTCGAACAGAAAATTTGATGATGAATAAAAAGGTTATCGAACAAAATTTCGGTTCTCCGAACAACATTGCCGAACCGATTATAGAATGGAATCGTTTCTTTCTTATTATTTTAACATATATTTTTTTTTGTTTTTTTATATTACTGTCACTTTTTTTTCTCTACATGGATTCCTATTGGAAAATAAAAGTGTTAAAATACATACACACATATATCTGAATCAATTTAACGGAAGTCAATTTGTGTATTCTATTTCAAAGATGGGATGTGTGGGTGTAATTGATAGCTGATCTAAATGAAAATATCTTTTTTTTTCTTCTTAAAATGAAAAAAAGAAATAAAGAATACCAGTCAGAAAGAGAGCCAGAGATACAACATTAAAGATCGGAAAATCCAATGAAGAAAGGCAATTTTTCCCCGAAGTAGGTTGCTAATTCTTTCTGGAAGAAAGGTTGCCATCCAGGGCTATAGAACCTGGTCTTTACGAATTTATCCATAAAAGGGGATGGGAGAAGAAAAAGCAACAAAGAAAAAAACTAAATATTTAAAACGAAAAAAAAAAAAAAATTTAAATATAGAAAACTTTAAAAAATATTATCTTTAATAGTAAGTCAGGTTAATTCATTAAGGTCAAATTAGGCATAACTTATCTATGTAGAATAACAAAATAAACAGCATCTTACCGGTGTTAAGGTCCCAGCTAGCGTCCAGCTGGCAGATAAAAATAAAGCAGGTTGTAACTTAATACAAAACCCTGCAAACTAAAAGATAAATCAAGCTGGTGTTTATATAGAAATACACTCCACTCAGGTACCAGCAGCCAATCACAGCCTAAACAATGGACTATCCCACTTTTAGCACAATGAGATGCTCCCTGGCAACATAAATAGCTCTCTTTCTAAAGGTTGGATTATTGTTCATCTAGTTTCAACGGAGATTATAGTGTGGAACAATTATTATTATTATTATTTTTATTATTATTATTGTGAACAGGATTACGAGGGTAACCTGTGAAAGGAATAACCCATTAGATTTCGAATCCTGTTCACAGCGCCATGTAGAAAAAAATCACGTGGTAGAGATAAACACTCCGTTGTTAACTTAGGCAAGAAAATCCGTTGTTAACTGGGGCAAGAAATTGCTCTTTTAGTCGTCATAAAGGGTCTTTTTTTTTTCTTTTTGTCTTCCATTGACATTGCTGATGCTAAAACTCAGGACAGTGAATCTTTGCAATTTGGCTAAAGCATTTCAGTGATATAGAATAAAATTACGAGATCTGCTGAGGAAAGTTGGTTGCCTGTAAAATGCTAGAAAATTTTTTATCTCCAGAATCTACCTTAACAAATTTACAAGTCCATTTTTAATATTGGCGACATTTGTGGTGGTACTTCTTATTATTCAGAGATTCTTAATAAAAATACAAAGAAGAATCTGCAATGTTATCCATCCTGATCTAGTATCTCGGCTTCAAACACTTCAAAATCCGTAAAGTAGCTTTCCTTTTTGATTTAATCAGTACCAGATTAGTAGGTAGTTTTCATCATTTTAAAATTGAAATAATTAGAATTAGACTCAGCAGGTTTTATGATGAATAGTTTTTCTCGCAAACTTCAATTGCTTGTGGATAGATTCATCTTCTTGTCCTTTCAATTGTGATCTTCAAAAGGGGTAAATGCAATGTCAACTGTTATCTTCTTTTAATGTTGTCCTTTATTGTGCCATTTTAATTAGTTTTCCCATATTCTTTCATCCACGCTTAAACCCTTTGCGTCTTAATGGCATAATCACCTTGTTTGGGTTGAATTGATTTTTAAAAAACTATGTATCTAAGGAGAAAGCAGATCCCATTTTTAGTCATTAATTACTAATCTATTAGATATAATTATAAATGGTCAAGTCCCAAAAGACGTTGAGTTCATTGGTCCCTTTCACATTTGTTCAGGTTGATGTTTATAAATCTTCAGCAGGTAAGCACACTAATAATATTGACATATGTTCCAAATAAATATACTGTCTAAACTATCATATTGATCTTTATATTCGTTCGACAGGATTGAACAACTGCAGTAATTTATTGATTCATTGATTGATCTGTTTTCACAACTTATCAACACTTTGCAGGCTATTTACAGCCAGAAAATATTTTAGCTAATAAAAATTATTTTTTATCAGAATAATGTTTTAGTCATACAAGAATAGATGGATTCTACCTTTCTCAAGCTTATTTTAGCGTCAATGAATATAACTAACCCGACTACAATTGGAAACCTGGTTTCCGATTAACAATTCTGAGTCATTATTCATTACACCACCTGCACATCTCAGCTTTCAAACACATGGGTTATCCATCCCAGGTTTGTAATCGTAATAGGAACCGGACATCAAGTAGGTCAATAGTTTCAATATGTTGTTTATATAAAACTATATAATTTTGACAGGTAGTATGCGCATTCCTATATTTAAAAACTCACATGTAAAAAACTCAGTAATAGCAAAGACTGAATTAAAAATATGCCGTCATTTTTCCAGGAGTTATATCTATTCTATAATATAAAAGAATATGATTTTATGCATTTATCAGTCACGCAGACTGGCCTTCCTTCTTAGTATTGAGATATCCAATTTTTAGATGATAATGGTGATTACGTCAATAAACAAAAACAGATTCATGGTGCCATAGCAAAGGAATATCTTAATAAGCAAAGCGAACAGCTTGCAAAATTTGTTGTCTTTGATACCTTTACCAGAACTTTCTAACATGGACAAATGATAAAAAAAAAATATACATTACTCATGAAGAAAATGTAACCAAATGCAATTAGAAATTAATCAAACATGGCGACATGTTTTGGTTCTAAGTGTAAGTACCAATTAATTGCTTTTTTGGTGAATTAAAAAGGAAAGTCTTCTTACATTAAACAATAGAATAAATTGTTTAAATTAAATCCTACAGGTGCAAAAAAAAATGACCGTTATGTTTGGGGAGACATAAGTCCTGTTAGTTTTATATATTTATTTTAATAATATTTATTTATTTTAATAATATATAAATATATATTTATTTTTAATAATATTAAAAGAAGACTTCTTTTGCAGGTGGCAATTGATTTAAGAGTAGAAAAACTTTGGTTTTCCCCATGTAACCGGTTTTTTTTGAAAAAAAAAATTTTTTCAAATCCTTGAACTTAGGCGGACAAGCAGGACAGAAACGGCATTTCCTCTCATGAGAAAAAGAAATATGAAACGATAGGAAGAGAAAAAAATAGAGAGAGATCACCATCTTTAAAAAAGAAAAAAGAGAAAAGAAGCAGAGAATTTACTAAAATAACGTTTGAAGGAATATAAAATTCCATTAACTATTTACACACACATATATATATATATATATATATATATATATATATATATATATATATATATATATATATTAATGAATCATTCATACAAAAGTAAGTAAATTAATAGAGTTAATGATATGAGATGGCGATTTCACTTCGCTAACTAAATTCTAGAAATGCATTAACTCACTAACGACTCGCTGAATAATATAATCCTTTGTTTTTTTTAAATTATAAAGCCTTAATAGGTCTTCCTTAAATATGCAAGTACTTTTCGACAGGTTCTTCCGGTCATCATCAGCATGAAATTATCTTGTTTTTGGTAAAATTCAGGTAATATCGAAGACGAAAAAATATAACGCAAATCGTAATATGTTTTTTTTTTTAATGTGTTATTGATAACAGATACAAACTCGTGGAGCGTGCAGTCATAACACTAGTGTTGAATTTTTGAAAATTTAAGGAGAGTTTTTCCTAATATGGCAGTTTAAGAATATTTTGTTGTAGGAGTTTCGCAAGTAAACGTGGCATGAACTAAATAGTTCAATATATAATGTCTCAGTTGTTTTCTGAAAACTTTTTTTTACCAAGCCCTTTTTGGCTATACGTTTAGCCATTATCACGAATGAATTATATTTACTGTTAACGGAAGATAGATTGTTGTATGTCCGACGCGTTTTGTCTTCTTATGACTTTAGCAAGGTAAATATAAAAGAATTTCATTTTACAAATTTATAAATAGTGTATACCCATTATCCATCTATCTATCTATCATATATAAATATATGTATCATTTCAACCCAAGTAATGCGGTAAAGGTTAGTACATATGTGGTTGAATGAAATGAAAGTGGAATTAAAAAAGACTAGTATGGGGAGGGTCGAGGAAAAGACAAAAAAGGAACAGGGTTCAAGAAGATAGAAGATGGCGATTGACGTTGCCTTTAAATTTTAAAAGAATTTAGATCTACAGGTGGGAAGTGAGAGAAAAAAATATGCTGACGTAGAAGTTTGCAGTTAAATTTAGTTATTTCCAACAGATGAACATTTGGGACCAAGCTGCCAATCTACTAATACGCATTAATTCTTGTGGTTGGTGACCCTGGGTAAACAAAACTCGTCAGGAACAGTTTTACCAAAAATATTGTTGAACAGACAGAGGAAGTAACATGTCGGTGGGAAAGTGTCATAGGACTCGATGCCTCGTCAGGATCGACTACATCACAAAAACTTCTCTGGGTTTTGTCAACAATACCAGATATACAGCAAGAACACCAGATCAAATATGGGAGAAGCATTCAAGACACAGACGAATGGTATATTTTAAATGTGTAAGATAGATTCTGACGTGAAATATTATCTGGCACGACACAGACAACAACATTCCGAGACGAAATAATTGACTCGGTATAGATGCCCTAATTCATGTCTGCCAGCGGAAAACTTGAGGCCAAGAACGCGTAGAGTTTTTGCTTTCCTGAAGCTTAACATGGCCATTCTGATGGCAGGCAGAAAAAAAGTGTCCTGTGGTCTTTAAATGAGAGCAGTTTTGTTTTGCCGGCGATGAAATTTACAAGCCATTTTTATCTTAGTTGACCACTGATTCGGGGCCCTTTTATAATAGCATTTGCCAGGTTTACTTTGGATTTTCACTGGAGACAAGAAACGGTAAAGCTCATCTGCATAAATACCAAGTCAAGAACTGATGACATCAGGGAGATCGTTGAAAAATATCAAAACAGCGTAGTTCCCAGGACAGAGCCTGGGGATATTCGCGTAACGCGTGAATAGATCTAGAAGCGACCCCGTTCAATACGACATTCGTTTCCCCAAGATTTTTAAAACGATTAGATTAATCAAATATTCATCCCAGGCACCGTAGCCCTGAGCTGGCATAGAGTGCCATATACTAAACCGTATCAAACGCCTTCGAGATATCTGGGAGCCACAGCCGAGCTTTACCATTCTTATCCAGACTTTGATAGACAAATCCATTGATTACCATTAACACATCGTTGATAGACCTGAGGGGATCAAGAGTTCTTAAAAATATGAACCACGAAAGGCGGACGTTCAAAGCTGGAAAGCGTGAAGCAGTGAGTCAGATTTTGTAAAAGTTTAGAGAAACAGGAGCCAGCCTGTAGCACATTTCTTGGGATTACGGCAGAGATCATCACATCTACTTGCTTTTAGGGATCTAATTTAGAGTTATGTTTGAAAGAAGTGATTGTGTTATGCGCATGTCATTCAGCAGAGCCTCCGTTCTAGAGTGAATCTGGCAGGGTTGCTCCAGATCATTCAGAGTAAGGTTTGAAGAGAGTTCTTGTTAAAGCTTTTACATTATCTACAGTAGACATATCGTACTTCAAATTGCTTCAAAGGAAGAATGAATGAAGATTTCTATTGTTCAGTAATACACCTTGTAGAGCCGCCAGTAATCCTCTCGAACCGAACTTGTGGAGAGGTTATACGTTGTTTATTCTATCAGAAAACAGTGAATTGGCTTCTTTGAGGACACGCTTGAACACATTACGAACAGTGACAAAGAGACGTCTGTTACAATCAACCTGCGCTCTAGTACAGTCGTGGGAGAAACGATTCCTAATGAGCTATAGCGTCTGAAGAATGAAAGGAGATAATCGTGGTTTCACTTGGTATTTCTTTTGCTGAAACAAGTTTCGATGTCGCTTTCACACAGGTGGAGACCTCAGGTGTATTTTTTAATAGGATGACTAAAAACATCATTTGGCGGACATCGCGAAGGAAGTCCCGAAACGCCCAATCGACGATATTCTGTTGGTAGGGGAGGTTCGTGACTTATAGGAGAGAGGAGAGATATTTACAGACACCATCTCATAATAAGAATTCACAAGAGAACAGAGCTGCAAAGCATGACAAGAGTCAAGGGTAGAGGAAAGAAGCAATCAACTATAGAAGTACCCGTTAGGATTATTGTGGAAACACGTGGAATTCTACCACTTGCTTGAGAGTTTGAATTCATGGCCTAGATGCCAGAGGATCAGTGTCAAATTGATCAGTCTGTCCCATATGGTGGGGAATTGATGTCGCTAAAAACAAAAAAGATATTTGAAAACGGGTCTAGAAAGCTGGCTTTTCTATCCTCAAAATTCTGAACAGTCCCAGATGGAAAATAGAGAAGAAGAGATAGCTGACTGAAATTAATAGAGAAAGACGGTGGAGGCACATGTAAGAACAGTCTGGAGACTCAAGAGACCAGTTTTCAAATTAGTAGGACATGTTCCCAGACCTAAACACCAACACAATGTTTGGACTAGACATTCTCCGAAAGAAATAAATCTGGCAGAACCGAGAATTTAGAGGAAGGTTTGAAGAATTAAGAAGATTTTCACAAAGAGTTAGGATGTCTGGAGAGTGTTCCAAGAGGAACGATTTTATACTATAGTCAGGTTATTCTATGTATACTCCTGGGTTTATATAACCCCTTACTACCTACTATATGTCGGGTTACTGGCTACTAAACCACTTCCCCCAACAAGCTTTTTCCGGTGGGGAGGGTGTACGAGGCCAAGCAGGATTAAAACAAAAATAATAAAAAAAGCTAAAAACACGCTAAGAAAGAACGACTTAATCCTTTCATAATCAGGGAAGCGCACAAGCGAGGGAGTATTGAGTTCACTAGGGCGTGTGGGGATCCCTAAATCTTCGTTAAATTAACCAACAGAAGAAGGAAAACTTTGATGTGACACTGCGTTTTTAACATCATCCAATGATGTTCACTGCTGTTTTCTTTTAGCTATGTAATTTTTTTTTTTTGGCTAAAAAGACAAAACAGTTATTTTTTGGTGACTGAAGATAAAAAACAGTTCAATAGAACACAGTATACAGCAATAAAGGCGACGGAATACCATACGCAGAGTAATTGAATTTGTCTCTGGTTCCAGTTGCAATAAGGGATTAAATGGTTTGGATGCGATACTACAGTAATGGACAATAATATACGATGTTTGTTGTTTTAATTAAAACAGACTCATTGAGTTGTTCATTTAAATATTTGTGTGCTTACAGCTATCATATTTGCTTTTAATGATAAAATTAATTTAAATAATTAAATAATCTATTGTCAAATAAAACAAATCAGGTATTTCTTAAAAGCATAAATAATATATATATATATATATATATATATATATATATATATATATATATATATATAGAACAAGTTAATAAAATCCTTACAGTAAAACAGAAAATATTAAAAAGAACTAACATTTGTAAATCATTAAATGAACCTGATTCTTATGTTTGTATGAAAATCATAAATAACCAAATTTGCTGACAAAAATCCCTGTTAAACCAAAGGAATGAATTGAATGTAAATTGCCGACACAGTTTATCTTTTGCCTTAAAATATAGTTTATGTTTTTTAAATTATGTACCAATTATTATAGCCATAATTTTTTAGTATATAATGGTCCATCCATTGCAGGTAATTACCTTATTTGTTTATTCAGCTTAAATATTGATATGTATTGCCGTCCAGTTAGTATTACTAATATCTTATATATAGATGTTCCAGATTTTTTAATTTTATCTACTTTTAAGAAGCTTTGTTGAAGCTTGTCTACTATCAACATTATATTTTAGTCGCTAGTATGTTTTTCCATAAATCGTCAATGATGATATGCCTATGTCCCAGTTTATCATTGAGATGAATAATAACTCGCCCACCTCCATACTGAATTTACTTTTATATTTAAAATAGATCTGAGATTTAATTGGTTAATGAAGACATACCCACAATTTTAATTTCTGACCTGATATTTTAATCACCAGTTACTTTAACATCATCTGAAGAAGAAGGTAAATGTTGAATATAAAAGCTTTTTGTGTAATGATTTCAAAATGTTTTATTATAATCTTTTTATTATATATATATATATATATATATATAAGGAATAAAA